GAAAATGGAATGTTTTCGAAGAAAGAGCGCGATCGAGGGGAAAGGGATCGTTTAACGACGATGCAGCCTCGGGCGTGACGCGTCTCTCGTCGCATTCTCGAAATTCTCGCGGGTGAGCATGGTCACGTGTGCAAATCTTCCGGGACAAAAACGTCGGGAAGAGGAAGGAATGACAGCAGGTTGGAACCTGCTGTTTACGACTGGGCTGTATAACCACCTTGCTATGCACCTTTTTGCCGAGAGAGCAAAGTGCATCCCGAAATAGGAAACATGTGTTGTCAATATGTTCCGGAAGGAAGAAAGAACCTGCTCTGTTGTCTAGACTCCTCCATCCCGTGGGCACAATGTCCACGACCTTAAGGAACACGTGTTTCTCTTCTACCGGTGTTACCTTAGCCACCTTGGCGCGGTATTCTACATTAAACACTTTCTATACGCTTCCCCGGCTCAGGTTTTCGACAGGTAGAAAAGATCTAATACGAAACATGTGTTTCTTCTTTCCTCTCATCATTCCTGGCACCTTTTCCTTAGGGATAAGGAACAGACACGATATAACGGAAGAAGAACAGAGACGTTGGCTCCGTTTGGAAAATCTCACTACTCTGTGCTCGTAGTTGCACTTTAACTTGGTCAGGATTATTCGGATGTTAGCGGAAAAAGCTGAGTCGAGAAAAGGGAATCGAAAACGTGTCATTCGATTTCGAAGAAAAATACTTTCAATTGTTTTCTAGAAAATGAGAAGAATCTTTCTCATCCTTTTCTTTTTTTCTTTTTTCTTTTATATATATATATATATCCACGTAGTCATCGATATAAATTCGTCGTCATAGATTTATTTTTGATTCGATGATTGGGTGCGTGTATTGTATAGCGTGTACAATCGATATCCTCGAAAGGTAATCATCGAGCAGATGTTAGATTCAATTTGTACTCGGATCGAATCATGTTCGAATCCCGTTCAATTAACGGATCTTCGTTCTAATTCCCTCATCGATTCGCGTGGAGTTGCTAGAAAATTCTCTCGAATTGCCCTAACGATTCGTGGAATCGCGTTATCTATGCAAACGAGGAAGAGACGATTGAGAATCGATCGCACTTGTTGTAGCAAGCAATTTGTAACATCGTACAGATATGACACTGTTACAGAAGAAATGAAATTAAACACGCAGAAGTTTTGCTCTTCCGTGTTTCGCAACGCTGTGTGCGTTTTTTATACAAACAAAATCACACTTCTTTTTCTTTCTTTCCTTTTTTCTTTTTTCATCGAGCAGCGAAACGTTTCCATAAACGATGTTCAAAAAATTGTCGAATGCATTTCTCGGTATTTATAAACGCGCGAGATACACGCGAAACACACAACGTACGAATATAACAATAAAAAAAACGTTTCGAGAATCGAAGATTCGTATTCCATTGAAATCACGATGATTTCCATCCCGGTGACACCTCTATTATCTAAACGTATCCGGAGAAGCATCTCGAGAATCGGAAGATTTCCCAAAGAAATATCGGATTCTTAGAAAACAGGAATGTGGCAGGATCGTGACACCTCAATGCGACCTCATAGACCCGGTCGGCCATCAGAATTAATGAATTCCTTCGCCCTTTGTACTCTCGAACCCACTCGAATCGATTCGATTTCGTTCTGGATCGTATCCAGCGGCGCGATACTAGGTCAGCCCAGTGAATTGCCATCACGGGACGATTCACGATCAACGATACGGCCGGGGTATACTCGCGCGGGGATGTGCACAGGAAACACGGCTGGCCCCTGTCCGTTCGTGACCGTCTCAATGCATTTTGGAGGGCGC